AATCTTTTCCCAATACATTTGCAAAGTATCAATCCCATTCTTTCAATAATTTCCTCAAAAAAAAAAAAAGTTCCTCGATGTATTTTTTTTTTTGGTAATTTGATTTTTTCCAAAATGAAATTGAAACACACTTTGCCTCAATATCTGAGAAGTTTATTATGGATCTGGTCTACTCCTGGACCTTTTTCTCTTTCCAAAGTTTTGTTTATTTTCAGCTTATTTTCTTCCATGACTCTACCTTTTTATGCTCATTCCTCTTCTATTTCCTGGAATTGATTTTCTTCTGTGTTTTCATACACATTTCTAATAAATTGTTAAATTATTAGCATTTGAAATATTAACAAATCTCTTTTAGAGAGACCACCATAATATTCGTATACGACACAGAACTGTTAAAAAAAGAAGAAGACGATCCAAATTCAGCAATCCTCTACTTTTACCCAACATGGGTATCGGACCAACAAAAAACCACTTTATGCGGACAATTGATGGGAACTGCCAGATGTTTGAAAACGATTTTGGCCATGCCAAAAACAATATCATTGCAGACTGGCAATTTTTACCTAATCGAAAACGGACGGTACATTTTGGTAGTGGGAACTGACAGAAATATTCCTGGTTGGATCTTAGAGCACAGGGCTACCTTGGTTTATTCTCTAATTAACTTTTTTCATAAGGATTTTATAACATTGGCCCAACTTTATCAAGATGAATGTTTGAATGATAAGTTGTATCATATATTTGATACTTATTTGAAGCTACTTTTCTTGGGTGGATGCGTTTTTCACCAAATGCCTTTGATGGACTTATCTAAGGTAAGAGATGTTGTTCTTCATTGAGTACTGTTCTGTAGCAAAAATATTCTCTTTTAGACTGAAAATCCTAATGTTCTCATAAATTCAAAAGTATTTTTGGACACTTGTAAATCTTTACCCAACATTTTAGGAGGAATGCTTTTATATCATAACAAGTAAGTTTAATAAGGAGTAAAATTTGATCACCTTTATTGATATCCAAAATTGTAAATGAATTTACTTAGTCTAGTTGTGTAATATGAAATTATTTTTCAAATAAATACTGTAAAGCAGCTTGAAGGTAGATACAGGGTGTTATATCCCTTGATTTTACCATTAAACCATAATAAAAATTGTAAATGAACAGAATTTATTGCAATAAACTTATTTTTAGAGTTATTCATACTCAGCTCTCTATACAGACAAGCAAGAAAGTAATTTTTTCCGATCCATTTCGAATAAAGAACCCTGCAGAGCTCACAAATCTCCCCTTTGAAATTCCACAAGGCGTCAAGCTTTTGCAAGTGTTCATTTCCAAAAGTGAATTTCAAGATCTTTCCAAAAATGGCATCCAAGATGAACAACAAGCCGATGTAAGCAGGTTTGGTGGGTTAGTAGTTTGAAATAGATTGCAACTTGAATTTTGTGTGTTTTATTTTTTATTTTTATTAGTGCATTTAATTTTTAGCCTAGTACGTCACGGAAACGAGATACGTCTTTATTGTTTACCGCAGTTCCTGAGGATGAAAGTTTTTCCATAAATAATATACCTAAAAAACGGGAGAATAGAAAGAAACCATCTAGGCCCAATTCTTTGAATTTGAAAAGTTTCAGCTTGGACTCAAAAGGAGATTTTCAACTGAGTACACCTATTACTCCATATTGGAGTCAGGCTTCCTCTGTTTGCACTCCTATGAGTGAAAACAAGTCTTTTATTGAACCAGGTAAGGTTTGGTTGCATAATATTTACAATTTTAGTACTTTTATTCCTATTACAGTAAGTAAAAATCAAGTTTGGAAGCTATCATCAGACTTTCAGCAATTGAAATGTGCCAATAACTTTACTGAAGCTTCGAAAGCAAAAGCTCTAATAAAAAATGCTTTATCAACCAAAAAGTCCTCCACTCACCATAATTCTAGTTTAAATGAACTTCCTCAAACCAACAGTATTTCTCAGCAGTATCAGAATCATCAAAGTATTAAACTCAGAAGGTGCAGAAGCATTCACGATCCTCATTTTCCATGGAACAAAACTGTCGATATAGCATTGAGCCAGTATTACGTGGAGGAAATTTTACAAATCGAAATGGATAAAAAAACTTCAATTGCGGATCGTAAAAAATCGCTTACTTTACCTATAAAACCTCATAATGCTAGCGAAAGACAAAAATCACCAGGTGGCTATTGTACTCCTTTAATGAACAAATTAGCCACCCCCTCTAATGTTGATTTGTTTGAGAGGAAAAATTCCATTCCTTGTGGGGCATTTGCGTCCAAAGACTTGACTGAAGAAGTTTGTGAACTTCAACAATGCACTTTGTTTTTGTATGGGGAAAGGGATCTGGTTTTGGCAACATTGTTGGTTAATTTAGACGAGAAGACTGTTGAACATTTGGTAAGTGGGTTTATTTTGGAGTTGAAAACATATCAGGGTTTTCTGTGTACAAGGTTTTTTTTCCTATAGATGACTATCAAAATAAAATTAAAGGGCCTTAAAATTAGTTTTAAATTTGGAATTTAAGAGGTTCAGAGCTTATTTTCCTTGAGAATCTCAATTAATATATATAAATTGAACGTTGCAGGACCTGTGATGAGTCCAAAAGAGATCAAAATTCTCAAGAGAAAATTTACACACTCTTATAAGAATTATAAGAGAACAGTTTATGTATTAATTAACTTTCTCAATAAACTAAACTGTAGTTTGCCTGAGTGGCTCAAAATACCTAAAACTCAAATTAGGAATAATTTTATTATACTTTATAAAGAATCACCTACTTTGGATTTTTCCTAGAAGAACAGTCAGTTTATATTTAACTTTTCCACAAAGAGGACACTGCAATTCATAAATCCTGAAAGTTTCAAGTAATTGTGATCATTAGAAGTACTTTGCATAAGTGATTTCCGTAGATTTTAATCATTTTTGCATGCATTAACATAAGAAAAAGCTCCAAATGTAGTTTGCAGCTTCAAATCAACTTCAAATTATTTTTTCCATATGAAAAAGACTTTAATCCATTATTCGTCAAAGTTTTAAGTCACTATGGTCATTAGAAGTATTTTGCACAAGTGATTTTTGCAGATGTTAATCATTTTTACATGCATCAACGTGAGAAAAAGCTTCTAAATTTAGTTTGGAGCTTCAAATCAACTTCAAATTAACTTTTCCACAAAAAGGAAACTTCAATTTATAAATCCTGAAAGTTTCAAGTCTTTGTGATCATTAGAAGTACTTTGCATAAGTGATTTTTGCAGATTTTAATATTTTTTTCCGCAGAGGTTCGAAAATGGATAGAACTCAATTTACTCATGAAATGTTTCAACTCATTAGTCCAAAATTTCATTAATTTTCAATGGAATTCCAGTGTACATATTTTTCAAGGTGGTATACCCCTCGGTTTCAAGAGAAGTTGGGATCTTTTAAAGACAATAACCTACCCTGAAAGCCAAATAAAACACAACATTAATTTGCATTTTATCAATACAATAATACTTTTTTATTTTTATAGCGTCGGCTTTGCGTAAATCAAATTTCCTTGCTGGAAAATCAAATAAAAATGTCCGCGAAAGATTTCGAAGCTCCAGACTCCAACACCTACAGTATTTTAAGTTTTGACCGAGAATGGGGCACTCTGAAACGCTACGGACCGTGGGGAGACGATTTGGACGATTTAAAAACACTGCACGGTGATTTCCAGGCAAACAATAAAATCGACGAGATTTATTTGAGGTAAATATTTTATTCTTTGTCGTTTTCCTCTACAAACACATTAAATCTAGTAAAAGGGTACTTTTTCAAAATGTCTACAGCTTCTTTTCTGCGTACTTCTTCGATTTTTGATTTCACTGATAGAGAACCGATGAAACTCAGTAAAGCCAGGCATGTTTGAGCCACCCAAAATAATACAAAAATTATTACCAAATGTAGATGCTTTGTCTTATACCAACCAATCAGTATGAATACTATTAAAGCAGTATTAAAAGCTATACAATGCGCTGTAACTATTGCATACATAATCATAACTTCGGTGGTATTGAATAGCACGCTCAAAGTGTAGAATACAAATGGTACCAAGTAGAACAATTTTAGTCCGATAGTTGTTTGTTGTATAAAACTTGGTTGGTCTGCATATTCAGTAAATAAAAGGTACAATTCTGCTATGAGCGATATGGAGAATAAGAGGGATGAAAACCACGAGAGAGGCTTTAAAATGGACAATTTACAATGACACATCTTTTTTTGAATAATTGTCAAATTGAAAGATGATAATTGGCATTTAATTAGATAAGTAAGGTCTAGTTTATACTTAGTTGTATACTTTTCTCTAAAATATATTCCATTGGAAGATATCCTCTGCTCAGTTGTATAAAGTAGTATTAAATATTCGAATAAGTTTCTGAGAGAAATTTTCAGCTATATAAAATTAGAAAGGGTTTACTCTAAAGTTGTGACAAAACGATGTTATTTTTAGAAAAACTGACTCAGTACTGTATGCCAATCGAAGTGGCCCTACAGAGATCTACTATCAAGAATCAGCCGCCCTTGCTAATGGGCTGTTGTCACCTAGCGATACAATAGCTACAGTTAAGCAAACTGCCAAAAAGCGACTCGAGAAAACCCACGGAGTATTTATCGAATAAAATAACCAATAAGCTAAGCATGTACTTAAGTTATTGATGTGATAGAAGTTGAATAATTGTAGTGCCAAATAATTGTCTCCACTGAATGTTAGCGACTAAAACATATTCATATTAAGTCAGCCAAACCAAAACCATAACTTAATGTGTAGCTTGTAGAATTAGACAGGGTAACAAAGTATTATGGGTGATATGTTTTTAAACCTTCTTCATTCCATATAGTGATTTGGAATATAAAATGTTTTTGTTATTTTTTTGTTAATTTATACAATTTGTAGATAATAAAAAAAATAAATGTTTTAGAGTTTAATATTTTATCACAAACTAACAATTTAATACAACACAGCAAAACTAAATTTGATCAATCAGATTGAAGTTTTGATGTTGTTTTTCTGGCAACACATTGAAATACTTCTTATAAAACTCGGTCCCTTGCCTGTGTCCATGGCATCGCTGTACCCAAGTGTGTTTCCAATTAGGATCTGCTTTTTCACAAGTAACCATCACTTTTCCTGGTATTATTGCAAATAGGGTACCGTTACGACCTAAACCGACCTACAAATCAGAATTTTACTATGGTTTACATCTATTTTAACAATGTTTTGAATACATTCAGGCCAGGATGGAACCGCAAATTTCGTTGAGTAACCAAAATGGTACCGGAAGTTACTTGATGTCCGTCTTGGACTCTCCAGCCTCTATGTTTGGGACGCGATTTGGGGCTGTTGTTTCTTGTGGATCCGCTTTGTTTTTTGCTAGCATTACGGACAATATTTGCTGAGGAAAAAAAAAAGTTTTGCAAAGTTAAATAATAAGTGGTGGCTGGGATTTTGTCAATTCTTTCTTGTTTTTCTTCTTTAAAAGGAAGTTGGGAATTACTTGTGTTCACAAACCATCTGACGTAATCTATTGGTACGGCACAGGGCCTATTTTACCAAAAGGCACACAAGGCCCGGGCCTTGGGGCTCCGAAAAAGGCTTGAAAAAAATTAACATTTCAATTTGGAAATAAACTCAAAAAAAAAACATATATTCCGGTATCTGGAATTAGACTTTTAGACCGGCCTCACACAGCCAGAATGTCTTTTTGAATTCAGAAACGGAATTCATAATCTGCATTTATAACGCAGAATTGTACCAATACAGGGTGTTCATTTTAAAACTTACCACCCCCATTATCTAGGAGGAGAAAAATTTTCGAGAAAATTCCTGAAACATGTCAACTATAATTTTAGGGGGGATGAGTTTCATGCAAAATTCACCTTCCCCCTTCAATTCCCCAGCCCCCAGAGCCACCCCCTAGAAAATCTCAAATGGGGAGGGGGATCAAGTGATACATCATTTTGGAGAGTTTTTAATTCCATACATTTTGGTACTAAATTTTAATCCCTAAGTTCAACTGTTTTGAAAATATTGACAGTTGCAAATTGACTTTTTTGTTACTTTAACAGACTGTAATGCCTAAACGGTTAATTTTCGAGGAAAACCGATCCTACGTTCTTATCTTAGATTTTCATAAGCTATCATTTGACACCAACTTTAAATTTAACCGGAGATTAAATTTTTAACTGGAATTTTTGATCATGGATTAAATTTAAAGTTGTTATTGTCAAATGATAGTTTATAAAAATCTAAGATAACCGTTTAGGTTTTACAGCCTGTCAAAATTGCAATAAATTTTTCTCCTCCGAGATAATAGGGGTGATAAGTTTTAAAATGAACACCCTGTACATTTTTTTTATACAGCACACACATTCTGCCTTTTTCAGATTATGAATATTTCAGTGATATTTCATATCTATATATTGCGGATCTGAAAAATTGAGATTATAATTCATCACGCATACTTTTCCATATGTTTCCAATATACAAGCTCACACAACCAGAATTCAGATTCTGATTCTTCCCTTCCAACCAACACCGCTGAAATGATGCCGCTAACTATGAGAAGATTGGTCACGGAATTTTTAAGATATGTGTGCGAGGATGTGCTGGAATTCAGATCCTTAATTCTGTTGCTGAATTCAGAATCTGAATTCATAACGTACGGAATTGTATAGGTATATTTTTATTATACAGCACACATAATCTGATTTTTTCAGATTATGAATTTTTCATATCGATCTGCCAGAGTGACTCTTACTAGCGTTTTAAATTCATCTGAAAAATTAAGATCATAATTTATAACGCATGTTTTTCCATATGTTTCAAATATACAAGCTCACACAACCGGGAATTCAGATTATGATTATTCCCCACAAATTGTATCTTTTTGATATTTGTGACGAATTCTGCTACCGCTCTACCGTTCTTTAAAGTAACACAAACAATCTTCTCTAGTGAAATGTTGATGGGACGTATTGAGACCAAATGGCATACGAACAAACTCATGACAATAATCAAAGATATCTTAAGCCAGATAGATCTTATGTATATACCGATGTTTGTTTTGAAAGTCTATGTTCGAAACTGGAGAACCATGTTATCATGAGAACGATTGCTTTGTCTTTGTCAGTGTTATAGAAATATGAATATGAGCGACAAAGAAAAGAACCTTCGTTCTCATAAGAACGCTGCTCCTCTATTTTAAGAATAAGGACCCTGATAGCAAGACCCCACAAATTGTATCTTTTCGATGTTTGTGACAAATCCAGTCCATAGACACGACTCCAAGAAAAATTCAAGGAACGACTAGAAATGCGGCTCCAAGATTCACATCCACCGTAAATAAAGGGAACTATATTGTATTAGGGTCAGGGTTTTGTGGGTTATTCTGTACCTTGAGGTTACATTGAAATACCGGCCCTTAATTCGCCATTTTATCATTGATTTTCGATTGTCTTGTTCTAATGGCAATGTCAGTCATGTCGAACTTGGAGAATTTTTTGATATATTTTTTTCATTTTGAGATATTTTAGTTATCTTAGTGTGGCGAGATCAATCGTTAGTTAAGTCCTTGTTAACAAACAACAACCTTAGATTGTGCCACACAAAAACACTATTATACTCACATTGAAACAGTCTAAGGTTTTTGTTAACTAACAAGGACCTTACCGATTGATCTAGCCGCACTTGAAAGGAAATTTTGAAGCTCTTGAAACATATCTGCCAAGTTTTTGTCTTCCTTCTATGCCATCATTTTCTCTGTCTATTGTCATCAATGGCCGAGCTTCTGATTATTCACATATAGGCAGAATTTACTCCTTATAGATTGTGGTTTACACAAATTTTGATACTTGTGACGAATCCAATCCATACCGTTCTTCAAAGTGAATCAAACAACGTTCTCTACCTAAAATGTTGATGGGGCGTTTTTGAGACCAAATGGCATACGAACAAACTCGTAATGACAATAATCAAAGATATCTTACCACAGATAGATCTTATGTATAAACTGAAGTTGACAGGTTTGGTATTTCAATGTTACTTTGAGATTTAGCTAAGGTATTCCTAAGTTAAACATGAAATATGAAATCAGTTCCTTTAGGTGAGTCTCAAGATTCACATCAAAAGCCAAGAATAGTAAAAATTTGAAAATTCTTATCCATCAATAAATCTGATAGTTGGTAGATACCTACTTATTCAACTTTAGCAATACCTACCTTGACAGGTTTAGTATTTCAATGTTACTTTGAGACTTAGCTAAGGCACCCTTAAGTTAAACATGGAATATGATATCAGTTCCTTCAGGTGAATCTTAAGATTCACATCAAAAGTCGAGAATAGTAAAAATTTGAATTTTTTTATCCAATAATAAATCTGGTAGTTGGTACCTCGGTTGGTACCTACTTATTCGACTTTAGCAATACCTACCTTGACAGGTTCGGGTATTTCAATGTTACTTTGAGACTGTTAAGGTACCCTTAAGTTAAATACGAAAAGTAGCAAGTGTCCATTCTAAACTCACGACTCCAAGGGAAGATTCAAGGAACGACTATAAATTCGGCTCTAAGATTCACATCCACCGTAAATAAAGAGAACTTTATTGTATTAGGGTCAGGGTTCTGTGGTTTATTCTGTACCTTAAGGTTACATTGAAATACCGGCCCCTAATTCACCATTTTTTTATTGATTTTCGATTGTCTTGTTGTTATGGCAATGTCAGTAATGTCGAACAGTCGAGAAGTTTCCAATTTTGATTATTAGCGGCCCTTAGAGAATTTTTTGATATATTTGTTTTTATTTTGAGATATTTTAGTTATCTTAGTGTGGCGAGATCAATCGTTGGTTAAGTCCTTATTAGCAAACAATAACATGAGATTGTGCCACACAGAAACACTTTTATATTGACATTGAAACAGTAAGCTTTTTGTAAACTAACAAGGACTTAACCAACGAATGATCTAGCCGCACTTAAGAGAAAGTTTTGAAGCCCTTGAAACATATTTGCCTAGTTTTTTCTCCCTTTCTATGCCATCATTCTCTCTGCCTATTATCATCAATGGCCGAGCTTTTGATTATTCACATATAGGCGGAGTTTACTCCTTATAGATTGTGGTTTACTCAAATTTTGATATTTGTGACGAATCCAATCCATACCGTTCTTCAAAGTCAAACAAACAACGTTATCTACTTAAAATGTTGATGGAGCGTTTTTGAGACCAAATGGAATACGAACAAACTCGTAAGGACAATAATCAAAGATATCTTACCACAGATAGATTTTATGTATAAACTGAAATTTGTTCTGGATGTCTATGCTCGAAACCGGGGAACCATGTTCTCATGAAAACGATTGCTTTGTCTTCGTCAGTGTTATAGAAATATGAATATGAGCGACGAAGATAAGAACCTAGAAACCCAGCTCCCCAATTTTGAGAATAAGGACCCTGATGGCCGAGCTGATGGCAAAATCTCCACAAATTATTCCCTTCCAACCAACACCACTCAAAACATGCCTCAAACTAGGCGAATACTGGACGCGGAGTTTTTAAGATATGTGTGAGGCAATGTGTCATCCTGAATTCTGTTTCTGAATTCAGAAAGACATTCTGGTTATGTGAGACGGGCCTTAGATTGTACAATTGATTTTCGATATTTCGATTTAAAAAAATTTAAAAAACAGAAGACTTTTTCCATGTTTTGATACAAAAAAAAAAAAATCCACTCATGACCCCCCCCATGTCCGCAGCCCACGAGCCGCCGCTGTTTTTTGGCTGTATAATGTATCCTTAACATTAAAAGAAAATCTTTGGTATATCTAGAGCACATACATATGTTTATAACCTAAAGGTGCTACAAAATAAATTTTGTTCACTATAACTTCAGATTGGTTTATCTACTGGGGATCCCATCAAGTCCAGGGCTGGATTTCACCCTTAGGGACTTGATGGCGACTTCTAATTTTTCTGGGTGAGGTGTTGATTCCTGTTCTGGAGTAGGATTCAACTGGAAGTGTTAGTCTAATATCTGTACGGCTGAGTTTAGTGAGGATACTCTGGAATTGCTATGCAAAACACTCTGCAACTTCCTGGTCAGATTCAAATGACCGCCTGACTTTTTTCAACCAATGAAATTCGCTTGATTGGTTTGCGATTTCTGTACGAACAGACCTATTGTTTTTTTCTCGTTTTTTTTTTTGCGGTGAATGTACAACTTTTGATCTCATTATTTTGATGATGTTACTGTTGGACTGTTTGTGATTTTCTCCAGTATTGTTGTGCCTATATTTGTGCCACAATTCTTTTTTTCCTTTTTATTTTCCTAAATACTTACTGCCTATGGTTTTTGGGCATTAAACTTTGTGTGGTGTGTATGGCATATGCTTGTTGATTGTAAATCCCAAAGCCTCCGAGAATTCTTCAAATGAATGTGGGCTCGAATATGGGTTAGTAGTTGTTGTACAAGTTGTTGCTGAAGGGTTTGGTTTAAACTTTAGTGTAATCTCAAATCTGCCTTCTTTTTCCAAGGGATGCATGTTTGAATGTACATATTACATGAGTAAATGTTGTACCCTATGTCTTTTATCTTTGATATCACTTCTATCCTATCACCTTGTTTATGTACAGGAGATCAAAATGATATCAAAGATAAAAAACACCTTGTACATTACATCTGTATAAAGATGTACATTACATGTGTAGATGGACATTATTACATGTAGATGTACGTACATTACATGTGTAAGTGTAGATGTACATTACATGTGTCCTAGGAACTAAAAGACATCTTCTGATAATTTTACAATTGTTTCTTGGGATTTTTCTCCAAAAAGCAAAAATAGGAAAATTGAAATTGACCCCCTTGTGCCTTTTATCAACTTTTATGTTGTCCAATAAAAGTAGAATTATTGCACATTGCACATGCAAGAAAAGTTTTGTTATCAAGTAAAGGACAATAAATATACTCAGTTGGCTTACCTAATACGTTTTTGGTGTTAAATAATAGATTTTGGGGGATGTTTAATAAGGAATTCATTATTTTTTCTCCAGGTAAAATATTTGGTATCTAAACAAAAATGTAAGGTTAGGTTATGTCGAATTTACAATTTACAGATCCCTGTAGATAAGTTTTGTTCCAACTCGACAGGAACCTGCAATTTACCCTAAAGATTCTTTGCAGAAACCAAAAATGTGTGCCTCCTGGAATCCGAAATTCGTATATGGAGTGATTTTAATAATCAAATATTCACTCAGGACAATTTAAAACATATCTCAATGGTATTCGTATTACCTTGGCGCAAAACTGATTGAACTCGGTTCAGCCAAAAGAAATCGCCTCGTCAATTGCGCATGTGCAATGACGAAATCACAAATGAAAGATAAATAAATCGGCCATTTGCATTTTGCATACGCGCCTTGGAGAGTGCGGTGCGTGTTGTCCGGTGTCAATTTTTCATGTTTTAAATTAACAATGGCACGATCCAAAATGTTTTAATAATATTAAATTCAGTTGTACTTTGTGTAAAAATTGAAAATGTCCACTCAGCCTCACAGCCGTAAGCGGGTGTGCTACTACTACGATAGTAAGTTGGATTTTTTTAAATTAATTTTATTATATTGCTGCCAATTAATCAGTTCAAATTCTCCCACGCTATGTAGTTATGCGCTAACGCTATAAAGAACGTGCATTTTTATTACTGTAGCAAAATTTACGATTTTCGAATCGTTAAGCTAAAAAAAGCACAGTCGACTGGCGGGCTGCCGTCGTTTTTACGCCACGCGATTGGTTGCGAGACGATTGTCAAAGAAGCGTCATGCCTGGAAGAGGGTACTCCGCCTGTAGTCCATTGATAGTCTATCATCGAATAATTAATTATTCATTGTTGTACTTTTCAAATATATGAAAATTATTTATTTTTGTTGTAAATAAATGTGGTTTGCCTTATAGGAAATTCTACAATGATTCATTTTTCTGTACATCTACTATAAATTGTTTTTTACATTTCTCAAAACCTCGAAGATTCCTATCAGTTTTAGCTAAATTTTTATTGTCAGAAATTTTAAATTTTGTGTACTTCAACTTTTTCCAAATGGAATGCCCTGTATCCTGTATTTGATTCTATATTTTTCAAGAGCACAATTTTCTGTCTTCTGATTCCAAAAATATATAGTTTGTCTATATTTGGTTGAGCCGTCTCAAGAATATTTGGCTCTGGAAATTTTGAAAAGACTCAGAAACCAAGTGTCAGTAGGATAGTATTTTTACAATTTTTAAAGCCAAATATATTATAAGAAACTGCTCAACCAAACATATTTTTGTAATAGGAAAATTGGTGTCAAATTATAAATAACTGGACACCCTGTACAGCATCTACAACATGTTTCCAATCATTTTTTGTTTGTTAATTCTGTCTAAAATGTAGAGGCATCACATCTGAAAATACTGAATATTTGCTCAAAATCTTAAAGTTTAATTTAATACATACAGTGAAACTTCTCGAACTTCCGGAACTCAAAATATTCTCTAAATCGAATTTTCTTCATAAACAAATAGGTTTTCACAACCTCACTACTCACTATGTATTTTTTTTCTCTATAAGTCGAATTTCTAATCTCTATTATAACACAAATATTTCTAAAACTCGAACTAAAATTTAGTGGCAACTGTGGCGAAAACTAAGTGTAACTCGAATTTTTTGGGGAAACAGCTGGTTCATTTAGTGCCTTGGGAAAATTACCGATTCTCAGTGACCAGTGGCGACATATAGACTTGTCTTGGTTTATATAATGTATATGTAACTTCTTTTCTGTAATACATGCATAATATAAATTCAAATATCCTCAATTTTGTGTATTTTTCCATAAATCGAATTTTCCGTAACTCGAACTCCACCTCCTGTCCCTTAAAGATTCGAGTTAGGGAAGTTTCACTGTATTTATACCCTTTGTGAGACCCTGGAACTGGGTAATCTGTCTCCAAATCAACTGACAGCCAATAGAAGTATTTATCAATTATCACAGGCCTTTGAAGGTGATTTCACAGGAATTTTAGGTTTGTTTAGGATCAAAGTGGAAATAACTCACACGCATCATATCAACTTCTAACTCAATTTAAATTTTACAAAAATCTCTAATTTTTGAATTCTGAAAGATAGATTATGTATGATGATTGTATCATGTTATCTACCTTCAAGATTTTATGGGATTGAAATGAAATGGATACAAAAATCTTGAATCCCTTTCTTAGCAACATATTATTGACTCCTGGCTTAATTTATGAATTTTGAAAGTATGACGCTTGGTATCCAAATATTTTTCACAGATCTTTGAAATTGATTTTGCAGGAATTTTATAAGTTTTTAGCATCAAAATGTAAGCAGGAATCATAAGCATAAGTCTTTCTTCCTGAGCATCATATCAACTACCTGCTTGATGTACATTTTGAAAGAATTTGCAATTTATGAAGTTACTGCTGTGATGGATCAAAGTATTCAACTATCAGACCTTTAGAGGTAATTTTGAAGGATTTTCATGATTTTTTGAGGATAAAAGTAGAAAAAAAAATCATAAATCCTTATACGAACTTCGGGTTCAATTTAAATTTCGAAAGAATGTTGATAAAGGCTTCTCATACTACAAGGGACTGATGCAGTATAATGAGTTATGTGTGTATTATAGAATTTTGTTAAAAAAGCTTGTATTACTTGATTACTAACTTATAGACCGTGAGGTAGGAACTATTTAGCGGAGTCATTTTTTTGTGTCTGGCATTTTGACGGATGAATGTGGCTAGTTAGCTGATGAGAATATGGGTGATTTGAATGCCTGCCTCCCGTTCGAAAAATTAGAGAGGAAAAAAATTCATTTACATGAAGATTTTTTTTAATGATCTCAAATTGTCTGGCTCTCAAATAAGAGGTTGACATTGATAAATATTTCACCCATAAAAAATACCAAATGCTTTTCAATGGCTGAAAAATCGGGGATGGGTGTAAACTTCCAAGAGAATAGTATAGAACCTTCCGCGTTTACTTTCTGTCTGTCTGAAAAGTCGCCAGACAGTAATCACAGTTCGAAATCGAGTTTTCCGGCGGAAAATTCTATTGACAATTCGAACAGGAAGCAGACATTAAAACCACTTATATTCTCATCAGCTAACTAGCCACATTCAGCCCTCAAAATGCCATACAAAGAAAAATTACTCCACTAAACAGTCCCTATCTCAGGGTCTACCTATTAAATTATTGTGTTGTAGGTTAAAGGTCTTTTCTCAGTTCTCACAGAAATTACAAACCAGAGCTTTTTTGATTGGTGCAAATTGCCAACAACCAACTGGTTTGTGATTAGTGAGAACCTTAGAGGTGAGAACAAACGTATTGTCTTCTTAGGCCTAGTTTCAAAGTAAGGCTTGAGCTAAATAATCTAAAGCTTGACCAATGGTTTTGCCTAAAACACACATTATGAAACAGACACATTGTGAGTTACCAGCGTCTTGTGATTACCATTGGGTTACCACTGTTTGTGATACTGGTCCTTAATGAATATGTTTAAATATTCTGTGTATGTTTGTTTTTGCTATCTACATGCTACTAAATAAATATTATCATTAATCCCCTAATTTATAGAATTTGAAAAGAACATTCCTGATATTTTTCTAAGAATTATATAAACTTCTGGCTTTTCAAATGTTGTAAAGCTAACTACATAGTACTTATCATACATATCCCAAAGGGTAAACCGCTGATCCAGTTTTTCTACACCACAATGCCTAATTGGGGAATTATTTTGAATTAACACTAATGCCTAACAATTCCCTAGCAATAACTAATAATTCCCAGTAACTCCTGACAATTCCAAGAAATTTCTCTCAATTTCAACAATTCCTTAGTAATCCCCAGTGATACCAATCAATATTTCCTCGAAAATAGCCATACATAGTTATCCTTATGAATACCCAAGTGAATATCATTTGATCATTTAAGAAAATCGTCATAAAGAGGTATGAACTGGAAACATAGAGCTTAGCTAAACAATATTACGTTATAAATTTTGAAGTGTTAGGCTAAAAATACAAATGAAAGTACAAAATACAAATGACAAGCAGAGAACTGCTATCCTATATTCTTATTAATCTGGTTTTCTGCCTTAGTTCAATTCCATATTGAAATTGAATTTTATCAAATTGTCATATAGAAACTATAAGGATGGACTGAGAAGGCAAACATACTTGGAGAGTGTTGGTTCTGTTGACCCAACTTTGTTTTATTCAGGGAAAGGAACTAACCTGAAAATTTAAAAACTAATTGATGCTTTTTGAAACTGATGCTCTAAACATTATCTTCCCAATGAAAAACTTCAATTTAAACATAAAGATTTATCACTTTAAAATAATCGTTTAATACTCACGGTAAAACAACTCAAATACTTAGTCCTTTTCTTTCGATCATAACCCCGGTGGTTTGAAACTTGCACCCTATTGGTCCGATGTAGCTCCGTCCCCACCTAAAACTTAGGTATATAATAATTTATTTATTTATTTATTTATTAACGTATCAACATTTACAGGTTTACAAGTGAACTTAAACTAACTAACCTAAAACAGCTCTTTTTGCACAACTCTTAAATTTTTTATGGGAAACATTAAAGAATTCTAATGGCTCACAAAACTTATTCACATTCGCTGATACTCTGTTAACAGGACTATACAATAAGTACCAAGAATTACAAATTGGTATATGCATCAAGGTCTGCCTACGTGTTGGATATCCAGGTATACGAAATCGAAAAGTTTCCAAACATTCTGGACTCTTGATATAGTAGTTTAGAACATTAAATGCAAAGCATATGTCATAGTATTCTCTTCTGCGAACAAGAGATGCTAAGTCTAGGTATAACATAGTCTGATCATTATCAAGTTCAATACCATTGCAAAAAAGTTTATATTTAGCATATTTTATAAATTTAAGTTGAACATTTTCAAGTCTATTTATATGAACCTGATAATATGGCGACCAAATTATGTTTGAAAATTCAAGGATGGATCGAACCAGCGATGTATACAACACCTTCAGAGCAAACACACTCCTAAAGTCTTTACTGGTTCTTTTGATAAAACCTAATATTCTATTAGCCCTACCTACTACATACTCAAAGTGCTCGATGAACGTAAGTTTAGTGTCGAAGTAAACGCCAAGGTCCTTAACAACAAATACCTCAGCAAGAGCATTAAGAGCAACGTGATTAATGGAATATTCCACAGGTATAGTATTCATCAAGCGGGTGAAGCGCATAAAGCAGCATTTGTCGATATTAAGTGACATGTCGTTGAGGTTACACCAATCGTATACAATGTCCAGATCATTTTGCAGAAGAAGAATATCACGAGTTGATGATACTTCCCGAAATATCTTTAGATCATCCGCAAACATCAGAAAATTGGAGGAAAGTAGATGGCCCAGGTCATTGATGAATAAACTGAACAAGAAAGGTCCCAAATGAGATCCCTGAGGAACCCCAGATGTGACATCGAACTTATCCGAGAGATAACCATCAATTCTCACCTGCTGAATCCTACCTGACAAATAAGACTCCAACCAAGAAATCAAAGTACCCGCAATGCCATAACCGGACAACTTTGAGAGTAGAAGAGCATGATTGACCTTATCAAAGGCCTTACTAAAGTCAGTATATATAGTATGTATCTCACAACCGTTGTCGAATGATCTATTGATAAAGTTAGTGAATAGAAACAAGTTGGTATCAACGGAGCGGCCAGAGGTGAATCCATGTTGCTGATTTACTATGGCTTGATGGAAGGCAACCGACAAAACTTTTTCTATACAGTGCTCAAATAGCTTGGGTATTGCTGAGAGGATACTAATTGGTCTGTAATTAGACACATTGTTCCTGCTTCCTGATTTGAGGATGGGATAAACATATGACAATTTCCAGACTTTCGGGAACACTCCAGAGATAAGAGACTATAATAATGCCCAACAATTTTTGCAATTCCTAAATGATTCCTCAATTATTCCCACAATTCCTTGGTAATTTTAACAGTTCTCTTTTCCACAATAATTCAAACAATTCCTACATACTATTTCCCAATAATTCCTAGTATCCTGATCATTAAACATAGATAAATGTTTTTATTTTAGCTTTTTTACTGGTAATAAGAAATATCACTCAAACTACATCATGAATAATGTGAACTTAAATTACCAGAATCAAGTTAGAGACCTTGGTGTCACTTTTAATGAAAGTGTTAGCTTTAATGATCACATTTCACATATAATTCTTAAAAGTCTCAAACTTCTTGGTTTTACATTGAGAAATTTTAGTGATTTCCCAATTGATGTGGTAAAAGTTGTGTATTGTTTTCTTGTCTGCTTCCAACTTGAATATGGAACACAGATCTGGTCTCCTATGTATGAGACATACATTGATTCAATTGAAAGGGTGCCGAATAGGTTTCTTAAATATTCTGGTTATAGAATGGGAATCCTAGCTGCAGACATTGATAAAAAAGTAATCTTGGATAGATTGAAATTAATAACACGTTACAATAGACAAATTATTCAATTTGACTCCTTATTTATTTTTAAACTATTGAATAACATTATTGATTGTTCTGAACCTATAAGCAGAGTCAGTTTCAATATTCCACAGTGTACATTGAGATCCTATAAATTTTTTCACATAAAATTTCATTCTACTAATTATGGCTGTAATAATCCTTTCGATAGGGCCTTCAGGTTTTTGAATAAATACTGTGATGTAGATCCTTTAAATTTAAGTTTAAGTCAATTTAAAAAATATCAAGACGACTGTCCTCAATTGGTATAATAATAATAATAATAAAATCTTTATTTGATTTTTTTTACAATGATAAAGTTAAAACAAAATACATTGCATACCCAAGTAGGGTGTAAATCTCGTCATATTTTGTATAAGATGACTTTTCAACAACATTTCCTGTGATTTTTATGTTCTTTTCTATCAAAATCATTGAATGTAATTTTACCAATTTATATAATACTATGATTTGTTATTAAGGAATGTGATATACCTAGACTTTCCCTGGTAAGTGAGATAATTTGCCTTCGAAACCAACTTCTAGTTCTCTGAAATTGATTTATTTTATTGTATGTTGTTTTTCCTTTTTTTTTCACTTGCTTCATATAAGCATTGTTCTCTTGCAATCTGTAGGTTTAGTTTTACTATACATAATAGGTTGTAATATTGATTACAAATCTTGTATTTTTTTGAAGAACTATAAACCTCCAGTCAATACAGATCCCTTTCCAGTTCAAATTTGCATTTAAAACCAAAAAATGAACTAAATTTGTTCTAAATGTATTTTTTTATGACTTTTTCTATTGAAGTATGAAAATAAATCTCGTAATAAACTCTCCTATCTGGGTGTAAAATTGCATTTGCATTTAAACAACATTTCCCATGATTGTTTACTTCTATTCAATCAAAATCTATCGATTCAAGGTGCAATTATTGTTTTATTTACATTATAGGTGACATTGGAAACTATTACTATGGGCAGGGACACCCGATGAAACCGCACAGGATAAGGATGACCCATAATTTGTTGCTCAACTATGGGCTTTATAGAAAAATGGAGATTTATGTAATTACCAGCCAAAAACTAATATTCAACAATAATTATAATACATCTTATTTAGCGTCCTCACAAAGCCACAGCTGAAGAAATGACAAAATTCCACTCAGACGACTATATCCGCTTCCTGAGATCCATCAGACCTGACAATATGGCCGAGTACAACAAGCAAATGCAAAGATTCAATGTAGGAGAGGATTGTCCAGTGTTTGATGGTCTTTATGAGTTTTGCCAGTTATCAGCAGGAGGTTCTGTCGCCGCTGCAGTAAAGCTCAACAAACAAGCGTCAGAAATTTGCATCAACTGGGGAGGGGGTTTGCATCACGCCAAAAAATCTGAAGCTTCTGGCTTTTGTTATGTCAATGACATTGTCCTAGGAATTTTGGAACTATTGAAATACCACCAAAGAGTTTTATACATTGATATTGATGTGCACCACGGAGATGGTGTAGAAGAGGCTTTTTATACAACTGATAGGGTTATGACTGTTTCTTTCCATAAGTATGGCGAATATTTCCCAGGAACTGGAGATCTTAGAGATATTGGAGCTGGAAAGGGGAAATATTATGCTGTTAATATTCCACTTCGTGACGGTATGGATGATGATGCCTATGAAAGTATTTTCGTGCCAATCATTAGCAAGGTTATGGAGACTTTTCAACCAAGTGCTGTGGTAAGTAATAATTCTTAATTAATATAATTAATCTCTAAATTGTTGTCGAAATTTACAGGTTTTGCAATGCGGAGCAGATTCTCTAACAGGTGACAGATTGGGCTGTTTCAACCTAACAGTAAAAGGCCACGGCAAGTGCGTAGAATTTGTCAAAAAATACAATCTTCCCTTCATGATGGTCGGGGGCGGTGGTTACACTATCAGAAATGTATCCAGGGCCTGGACCTACGAAACTTCTGTGGCTCTGGGAGTTGAAATAGCCAACGAGCTACCCTACAACGACTACTTTGAGTATTTTGGGCCAGATTTCAAGTTGCACATCAGCCCTAGCAATATGGCCAACCAAAACACTCCGGAGTATTTGGAAAAAATTAAAACGAGACTGTTTGAGAATCTTCGGATGCTGCCTCACGCTCCTGGGGTACAAGTTCAGGCCATTCCAGAGGACGCTATAAACGAAGAGAGTGATAATGAAGATAAGGTTGACAAGGATGAGAGATTGCCTCAAAAAGATTTGGATAAGAGAATTGTTCCAGAAAATGAGTTTTCGGATAGTGAAGATGAAGGTGAGGGTGGCAGAAGGGATAATAGGAGTTATAAGGGCAGAAAACGACCGCGGTTGGATAAGACTAATGAAACCAAGGAAGCTGAAGAAAAACCTAAAGAGGATCCTAAATCTGAAAAAAGTAAGTGAAGCTGTTTTAAAAAAACAAACAACCTCATGTTTCATGTGTGTATGTTTAAATGTGTGCTCTTTTTTACAGCCCCTGTCGAGCAGGAGAATAGATGAGAACATTAATTGCAGTGTCATTCATAGGTGTGTATCATCTCTCTTATATTTTCCATTTCTGTAGTTAGTTGGCATTTTGGTTGTTGTTTATAATCATTCTAATTGGGAATAGTAGTTCTGTGATGTATGTAGTTTGTTGTATGGTGACCTGCATGGATAACATAATAATTTACAATGAGCAGATTCTTTGAATAGTATGGTGAAGGAACAACGTCAACTATTTGAATTATTCCAGCCTACTTTCTTGTCAGGTCATCGTTCTTGAATAAACAAATTCATAAGCACATTTGTGCTTTTAGAATCTTTTTTATTTTTTCATATTCTTTGTGGATCCCTAAAATTTTGTTATTATTATTGGGAAAATCAAAGTTGTGACTCAATCAATATAGGAATCTTCACTTTTTGATTTTGATATTCAATAAAAATTGATATCTTAAATGCCTTAATATTCGTTTTTTCACCAAAGAGCATCATTCTATTGTGTGGTGGTTGTGCGTTTACATTATACATATTCATAAGGTGGATTTTTCATTGATTTTAAATATCTTCAACTTACAAATATTAATATAATTTTCTCCAACACATACTTGATTTTTCCATTGTAAATGTAGCTCAAGACAAAATACCAATAAATAAATTGAATGATAAGAAATATAATACAGTAGTGTCGCGATAATCCGATCCCGCAATAATCCGTATGCTTCTGTAATCCATATCGCATTTTCATTCCCTTGATGTAATCTGTAATCCGGATTTCACTTGATTTAGTAATCCGAATTCATTTACATGACTGTTGAAAATAAAAACACAGGTTTTCATTTGTCGTTTTGTAACTGCGTTCAAGTGGATAGATAGTGTTTACATGTCTACACGCATCATTCAATACGCAGCGTCCTTCCTTACTGTGTGGGCTTTTTCAAAGAAAATGGCACCTATTAAACGCAAACACAAAACTTTAAGTCTCAACGAAAAGTCAGCGATTATAGACAAGCTGAAACGCGAAGTTAGTGGCAAATATTCAGCTGTTAAGTATGGAGTAGGGGCATTAAGAAAAAGCGGACTGTAAAATGCCTTAGTAATCCGAATAATTTGATAATCCGGATTGATCTGGTTTAAATTGATCCGGATTATCGCGACACTACTGTAGTTAACACTGTTTACTGTTTACTGTGAAAAATCGCTAATTTGCAGGAGGGCCAGGAAATGGTTTTAAATTTCTGTATTTAGTTTTCTGTCTTTACTAAAAACTATTTTTGTGTGAATTCGTTATTATAAACCCATATTTTTTCTTTGTTAATAGGTGAGGAAAGTAAGGCAAGTTCGGATGATACAACCACAGACACTGGTTAAAAACAATCAGCTGGACTTTTAGGTTATATTAAGTGTTTTTTTGTGAATGTGTTTGTCTCGAGATCAAATTTTGATTTTTTTTCATGAATAATTCAATATGACTGTTTTCTGAATGACTTAATTTGGGCGCAGACTTATAGGGAGAGGATGTTTAAATGTGACTGTTATCCAGAAAATTATGTTTAGTGTTAAAGTAATTTCAATTTCTGATAACAAATATGTGCACTTTGAAGCATATCAATATTTGAGTTCATGAGATAATATTTGAGATTAGCAGTTTTTGCCCAGGAGGGGTTTGCTTTATCCTGTAATGAAATTAGAAACCTTTCTGACAATTGTCATGAATTTCAACAAAATCTTGTTTTCTGGAATCGAAATAATACTTTATGTTTATGATGCTCCATATGTAAGTTAGTGTTCAAATAGCCAATTTTATTTAATTTTTTGTATTCAATAAACCCAATTTATATTTATTGGACTGATGGTTTTATTTATTATCTCGAAGCATTATTTTACAGCAGGTTGTTACTGTACACAGCCAGATTAGTAGATATCAAAGGATACCTGCAATTAAATCGCCTCTGGAAACTTTTGAAAAATACTTCAAGCAATCGGAGGGACTTCAAACTTTCAGGATTTATTGAGTCTGGGTCTTTTTATCAAACAGAACAAACCGCAAATGGATTTCAGGCTCAGAAGTGGAATTATGAATTTTTTCTCACTTAGATGCAAAAAAATCATGTAAAATTTTTAATAAATCACCTTTGGAAGCTTTTGAAAAATACTTCGAGCAATCAGAGGGACTTCAAACTTTCAGGATTTATTGAGTACTTAGGGTCTTTTTATCAAATAGAACAAACCGCGAATGGATCTCGGGCTCAGAAATGGAATTATGAATGGTACTTCAAGCAAGCAGACTTCAAACTCTTAGGAATTATTGAACATCTGCAAAATGTGCTAGTTTATAACTAAGAGGACACCCTGTATTGTAAATTACACAAGTTGGTGTAGAAGCTTTTATTGCAGACAAGGACTATGACATAATTTGTCTGACGGAGCACTGGATGACCAAGGAAGAAGAGGTATGTGATTCTGGGGTATTTGACTTGGGAGTCTCAGATCACAGGGGTCAGATCCTGGAGGTCCTGATGGAAGGGCCCCCAAAAGTTGTGGAGAAGAAAAAGTATGCAGGCCCATAACACAGCGAGGTCTATTTGCATTCCATGGTATCTTGGATGCTGAGTCTTGGAATTTTGGCTCTGTGGAGGGTATGAATATGAACCAAAAATTTAATAAATTCATGAACATTTTGGAGCAAGCCTGCCTGCACCCATTTCCTGAAAGGTCCTATAGGGTCAGATCAGACCAATGAAATAACATTTCCTGGTTCAGTGAGGAGCTGAAGGCAATGCGTAAGCGACTAATGTTTTTGAGAGATCTAAGTAGACAATACGGGCATGTGAGTACTCAAAATTATGAAAACTATAAAGCTGTTTATAAAAATACGATCAAACAAGCCAACGTGCAGTCTGATGACAATCTTATTAATACTTCTAACAATCCAACTAGGACCATCTGGCAGATTATAAATGCACACAGAGGTGAAACAAAAAAATTATCAGATGTTACCAACTTGTCACCGGATGATTTCAATGACTTTTTCTCAAGCATCGCTGAGAATGTAGTTGGAGGTATTCCAAATGTGGGTAACCCACCAGATGCATATTTGTCTTCTCTTGTTTCGTTTCACCTCTGGTTTCTTTTGGCTTTTCTGTCAAAAACGTTATTTTAATACCTTTAACAAAGCTTATAAATTTGGGTTTCAGAGAGAATGTGTTCCCAGATGTTCTGAAAAAAGCCACAGTGATTCCCATTTTTAAAAAAGGGGATACAACTTGCCTCAAAACTACAGACCGATATTCCTGTTGCCAATTATTTCCAAAATATTCGAGAAATGTATAGCTCTGCAACTGGCAAAGTTTTTCGAAGCAAGTGGTTTTTTCTCACCCTGTCAGTTTGGTTTCCATCAAGGTAAAAATATGGTGATGGGTATTTTGGACCCCATCTCGGGCATCGTGGAAGCTTTTCAGGATAGGCAATATTATAGCACGGTCTTGTTTTGTGATCTTAGTAAGGGCTTCGACGGCGTTGACCATGGTATCCTCCTGCAGAAGCTTGAAGCATACAACTTTCAACCCAGCAGTATCAAACTGATAAAATCCTATCTTAATAACAGGTGCCAAAACGTGAGGTGTGATGATGTGACATTAGCAGAGAGGGTGGTGAACATTGGTGTTCCACAGGGTTCCATTTTGGGCCCCATTCTCTTTCTTATTTACATCAATGACTTACCAGCAAATGGCGCCAGTGAGCATTTCACCCTCTATGCTGATGGCACAACAATTTCTTTTGCTGGAGACACCCTTGACTCTGTGTACGCTGGATCCATGGACGCGCAGGCGAGGGCTGAAACATGGTTTGCGTTGAACAGGCTGTTGCTGAACAGAGAAAAAAACCAAAAGAATGGTTTTTGCAATGAGAGATGTTGGTGACTGTGAGGATGGTCTGACGGAGGCAGTATTTTTGGGTGTCACACTAGACTCAAAGCTACGGTGGGGACCTCATATCAACCAGGTGGCCAAAAAACTAACAAAAGGCGTTTATGTTGTTAGGAACCTGTCAGCTTGTGCCTGTTCTGAGAGTGGCATATTTTGCAATCTCCCATTCCCATATATCCTACGCGATTCTGGTGGTGAGGGTGATGGCACGCCTTGGTTATAGGGATGAGTGTAAGGGGGCATTTGTTTCTTTGGGAATACTTACGGTTCCCTCCTTGTATATTCTTGAGAATCTGCTTCTTGCAAAAAGAAGTAGGAACTATCAGCAGCATGAAAATACTCACAAATATGACACCAGGAATAAAAATAAACTTGAGCCTTTATACTGGTGCCTCAGAAGATGTCAAGACGGCCCGGATTAATGGGCAATCAAATTTTTCAATGTTTCACCCCAAAATATCAGAGAACTTTCCTACAATGAAGGTTAAGGAGATTCTTTTAAAGAACAGTTTTTATTCATTCTCTGAATTTCTAGATTTTGAATTTTAAATGAAATGTATATTGTCAATATGTGTTTTTAGCTTTTTTTTCATAATTATTATGTCTAGATTTAATAAAAGCATAATAATAATTATGCTTTTTATCCACCACCGTATCAGATCTTATTTTGCTATTGGTTTTTAAGGAAAATATTGAAGAGTTTGCAATGAAATTTTAGGAAAGAGAATCTTTGATTTTTCGACTTTAAAGTGTTTCAGCTACTTTTATTCCAGGTTCTTTTTTTAAAATTAAGTTAGAGAACCAAAATACAAGAGAATTCAAGAGCCAGGAATAAACTAATGAATTGAAAAACACAGAAAAATGAGCGGTAAGGAAACAAATTGAGAAATAGGTGAAATAGAAAGATCACAAATACAATATTTTCTAAAAATATTTCAACTTTTCTATTAATTCTCTTGAACCATATTGTATTATTTAGGTAAGTCTTATAATAAAAAAACATCAATAAAAACAATGTATATCATCAAAGTTCATCATCTGTCATAGTTTCTTCATCCGATTCAACCCTCTCCAAACCATTCTCTTTCAAGTAACGTTCATACTGCTCAGGAATCTTTTTAAAACTTCTTATTTTCTGTCTCAACTGCTTCCATGTTTCTTGATAATAGTTTTTGCTGTCTCTTGCCATCCCTCTGTAATCATTCCCGTATTTTTTCATCAAGTAGGTGATCCATTCGACTTGGCCTTTTGGCAGTCTGAATCGTTTTTCTCTAGGAGCTTTGGCGTCTGCTTCTAGGGCTTGTGCTACAAATTTTTTCTTGGGTTCTTGGGGATCTTCTTTTTGTGAATCATCGTCTACGGCTCCTAGAATGGTATGTTTTAAGTTTTTCTTGAGGAAATTATGTTTTAGGTCTTACCTAATGCTTCTTTTAGTTGTTTCTTTCGCTTTGGTATGGCTATAGTTAAGTTTGGATCGTAGGACAGTCCCATTTCTTCTAGATTGCCTTGGACAGATTTTTTTTGGTCCCATTCGTTTTTCACTTTCTGACTGAAGAATAATACATACGGTTAAACGTATAATTAATAAAATACAAATTTTAACATCAAACAAAATAACTTACCATCCAATGTTACCCTGATTGAAAATCTTGTTTCGGACCCTTTTTCTGTTGACGTTGTGCCTAAAAACTTTCTTTCGACGCTGTTTACGTAGCTTGGTCATACTTCTGTTTTTCTATTTAATTAGTAATTTTGTTTTGAGTCTTTTATTCTGTGTTTTCTTCTTAGGGCTAGAGGATCATTCATTATTTATTCATAACCTCATCAAAGACACACACACGTGTTTACATGCGGAGTGCAGGTTTTAATCCATAGATGGCGCTGTCGTTGGATCAAGTTGTTCTGTAGGTGTTTTCTTTCTGCTCCACTCTTTTACACTACACTCAACTACACCAAACATTTTTATTCATTATTATAGAGGTTTTTAATTGTATATCTGCTTTCACTGCTATTGTATTGTATCTACAACTCAAATAAAAACAGGAAAACGAGGGGAGGATAAAGCTATAATTGAAATGTTTTATAAACAATAAAATTTAAATAAACTCTATAGATGGCACTGCCAGTAGTTTGGCTGTCAGCTGTCACTGTGTTTGGTTGTAGAGCTTCTTGACATAATGACACTAGTACCTAACTTTCACCGACCTTTCTCCATAGATGGCGGCACCAATTTCAGATTTGATATCGGTACCTTTGCCGGTACCACTCCAATTAGAACGGAATGGTAAAATTCAAAATAAATAATTAGCATTATATTCGCGACAAGTTACTCTTTTGTCAACAATGTCAACTTGTGTCTTACATGCACGTTATAACCTTCTTTAGACGTTATATAACCCAGCAGCACCAGGGTTGTTACAGGCTACACAATTGTGTAGTTTGCTACACAATTGGACTATTGATTACACAGGTGCACCCCAATGACCAATTTCGTTTGTTTGCTACACTTTTTAATAAACTGCACAGAAATGCTACACAATGGATAAATCACCTATTCCGAGTATTCCGTAACTCAAAATTCTTGAAACGGTAGTGAATTTAGCCACAAAGTGGCAAAAGATGTCGTAAGCGTTAGGCCTATTCGAGTTTGGAAAAAGGACGGTTCTAGAACGGTTCAAAACAATCGTCCAGTTTATTGATCAACAAAATAGCAACGACTCGACTATCACAAATTTCAATAATAAACTGTGCGATTCTTCTGGACCGTTCTAGAACCGTACTTTTCCCAAACCCGAATAGGCCTGTTGTGTCAGAGTCGAGATCTGGTTCTGTTTTTCGTTGGAATCGGAAATGTCGCAAGCTTCCAGAATACTCCAGAACTATAACCTTATAACCTAAAAGTACAAATTCAGAGCACTGTTGTAAAGGTTGTTTGTTGCATGATAACTTTATGACGTCATCTGGAGTGCCTCAACATAATGCAAATCTCCATAAGGCACCCCACATGTGTCATCAAGTTACCCATTACCAGACAACTTATTCACCGTAGAGTTTAGGTACCTTGCACTGTTGGGGTTTTAGTAGGTTGTGCTCGTGAAGCAAAAGATGTCGCGAGCGTCTGCTGTCAGATGCCTATTCGATTGTTAATTTGACACTGCACAATTGCTTGAAATGCTACACAATTTCAATGTGAAAATCTACACATTCAAAAATTGGTCTTTAACAACCCTGAGCAGCACGCGTAAAGTCTTTTATTATGTATTAAAAAGAGATTTAAAGACGTCTTTGAGGTATCTAGCAGTCGTTGAAGACAGAATGTCTTGCAAAAATGTCATATAGGCGTTTTCAGGCAGACGTTTGAAAGACGTCGGGCTTTGTATAATGTAACATACGACGTCTTCAAGATGCCTATAGAAGACGTAAGCAGACGTCTAGAAAAAATCTTGGGGACGTCTTTAAGAAATCTACAAAAACTTCCCACAGATAATTATTAGTTTCTTATTCAATTTATTAGAAGTTACTGGAGACGGAAACCATTTAAAATACTACAGAACACTTTAGAACTCTAATAAGCCTTTTGGAAAGTTCAAAACACTTTAATTCAAATCAGAATTTCCAAAAATATTCTGTAGCGCTTCAGAACAATTTAGAAGCTTCAGAACCATTTTTAGAATATGCTTCAAAACATTCACATTTAAAAACCGATTTACAATTTCGAAAAGCATTTTAGAATTGTTCTGAAGTTTGAAACCCATAAGGTTTAAAGGCAGGCCTATTGTTTATTGCAGCGCGAGATGTCAGTACTGTCGCCCCTATAGTACCGTCAAACGGGGTGACTCTGGACTACGGGTTGACTTGGGACACTTGGGCGCGCGCTTCCATAAAAATTGGCAACAGGGGTGAGCAAGGTGGGAGGTCAACATAAATATTCTGGGGATTAGCATACACTTTGAGGTCTTTAATACACCTAATGCGGGCGGCACCGGGTGAGTCTTTACAGCGACAAAAAATTTGTTTTCAAAGTATAGAGAATCGGTGTTTTTTCAAACCGCTACAATTGTTGTCTGTAAATATATCAAGGTAAGTGATGACATGTATGTTTTATTTATTTTTTTGTCCGCTAATATGTTGTTAAAGATGTAATAAGGTCGTTTTTGCTCAGAAATTTTTATTTATTTTTTTGTGATAGAAAATCTGATTGAATGCACTTTTTAGGGTGACTCGGGACATGCCTCGTAAATATGTTAGGAGGCTTGGCGCAAGGCCATATCAAAATTACGACAAAAAAAGACTTGAAATGGCCGTTAGGGAAAGGTTAGCGAAACAAACAAGTTATAGAGAGTTAGAGGAACGGTATGGGGTATCCAGAAATACCATTAATCAGCATGTCATCAAACAAAATTTAAAAAAACCTGGGGGTCAATTGGCCTTAGCTGAAGCAGACGAAAAAAAAATAGTGAATTCTTTGTTGTGTGTTGCCGATTGGGGATTTCCCTTAGAACCAATGGATATACGGATTTTGGTAAAACAATACTATGACAGAATGGGTGTAAACATAAAAAGATTTACAAATAATATGCCAGGGCCGGACTGGATGAAATCATTTTTATTGCGCCACAAAAATAATTTGGCTTTAAGACTTTCCGAAAACATTAAACGAGCAAGGGCTGCAGTTGACAGGCAAGCAATAAATGTCTATTTTGATGAACTAAACTTATCTCTAGAAAACATTCCTCTTGCGAACATCGTGAACTATGATGAGACAAACTTCACGGACGATCCGGGCCGTCAGCGTGTCGTTATTCGCAGAAGCAACAAACATGCAGACCGTATTCTTGATTCCAGTAAAACATCAACATCAGTCATGTTTGCAATTAGTGGATCTGGTGTAATGTTGCCGCCATACGTGGTGTTCAAATCAGAACATCTCTATGAAAACTGGATAAGAAATGGACCACAGGGTTCTAGATATGGAAATACAAAAAGTGGATGGTTCGATTCAAATCAATTTGAACAGTGGTTTTTGACTATAGCATTAGGCTACTTCCGAAGACTTGAGGGGCCTAAGGTTGTAATAGGCGATAACCTGAGTAGCCACATCTCCCAAAATGTCATCATGGAATGTCAAAAAAATAATATCAGATTCGTTTTGCTACCTCCCAATAGCACCCACCTTACACAACCTCTGGATACAGCATTTTTTAAACCACTCAAGCAATCGTGGAGAAAAATTTTGTTAGAGTGGAAGAAAAAAAATAAAGGAGTACTCCCAAAACCTGAGTTTCCAGGCTTATTAAACAAAGCTTTGGATAATATTGGAGACAAGCTAGAAGACAACATAAAGGCTGGATTTCGTTGTTGTGGTCTTATTCCACTCGACAGGGATCAGGTCTTGAAACGTCTACCCCCAGAGCCTGTTCGAGAAGATGAGGGCCAACTAGCTTGGACCGAAACGCTCACAGACTTTTTAAAGAACCAGCGAACTCCAACAAACCCAGCAAAGAAAGGTAAAGGAAAGAAAATTCTAGTAACACCCGGTAGAAGTGTGACATGTGAAAGAAGTTCTGACTCCGATTCTGACAATAGTGAAATGGAGATGGAATTAAATAGAAGTGAATCTGATGATAATGGGAGCATACAAGACATAGAGTCTGAGGGAGAAGAAAGAAATCAAAATGAAGATGTGGAAAACCTGGAAGAAGAGCCAGAGGAAGTGACTGATTTGCACATTGAAGATTTTGCAATTGTAAAATTTACAGACGGAAAGTTTTCGAAAAATTTTGTGGGAAAAATTTTAGACAAATCTGGTGACCAAATAAGAATCACTTTTTTAAGAGAACATTCGAAAATAGAAAATGGCTTTGCTTTTCCAATAGTTCCCGATGAATCCACAGTAAACATTTCCCAGGTTTTGAAAATACTTCCAAGACCTGTGGAACTGCGAAGAGGTGCAGTTAAATTTCCATTCCAAATAAATTTGAAAAATTAGGTAGACCCATTATTGTTATCGAAAGAAATGACCTTTTTTTTTATAATTTCTTGTGTAGAAATTTTTTTATTTTGTTCAAAAATCAATAAAAATAATGTTTACTTTTTTAAAAATTTCTATTTTTGTCCCGTCTCACTCCAGAAACGCCTTACAATGGTTTCTAGTGCTAAATAAGTGCTTGTCCCTAGTCACCCCGAAAACGGGGTGAAACGGGACAATTTTCAAAATTTAAAAAAAAATATTTAAGATTTTCGAAAAAATATTATTTTTAGCATACGTGTTCCCAAAATATGTAGAAACATGTAGCCACCTTAAAATTGCCATTTACTAATTCTGGTCATGAAATATTCACAAAAAAGTGTCAAATCCGTCCTTAGTCACCCCGTTTGACGGTATGCCCTAACTTGATAGTCAAAAAAAAAATAGAAATCTGCATTTGGTTAAATTGTGTGATGGAAAGTTTTTTCTTTTTTTTGCGGAAATTCGAATTATTATTCTGTTTTACATAAACAGGGTTGTAGTTTGGACCAACACAAATAATTTTGAACGTTCATCCGTCGGATTTATTTTTAAACAGTGTAGCTACAGGCGTATTTCCAACTATTCTTGCAATAGCGAGAAAACTACAAGTTCAAAAAATTTGAAAAAAATATATGTCGCGTAGAATTGCAATAGTAGTTTTTAATAAAAATAACGGGAAACTTCATCTCTTCGTTTTGAAATAAATGGTGAAAAACCACTTTTTTTTCAGTTTTTGCGATATAACTCAAAAATGGCGAGTCAAATTTGCTTAAAAAAATTATGGATTAAAGTATATCAATAACCATAAAACATTATATTTTTTTTGGAATTTTTGAACACAAGGTTCAGAAAATGGGGGTTGACTTTAAACCTTATTTTGAA